GTGTCCCCGGAACAATGAGCCTGACAGCTCCGGCCGGCGCCGCCCCCTCGGGCAGCCCCTTCCCCAGCCTCAACCCTGCCCTCGCCCCCCGCCCCGGCGTGCTCGGCGGAATGGGCACAAGTCACCCCAAGTAGGTTCAGGTGGGAAAGCTGTCGGCGTCGTCGCCTTTTGAGGAGTTTTGCCCTAAATGACGTGAATTTGTATCCAGAGACAGCGCTGGCTTTCAGGTTACCGTAGTCTTTGCTGCCGGTTTCAACCAGGCGGCGTGACGATCCCGTGTTAAAATGGAAGTTTTTCTTCCTGGAACAAAATACTCATTGTGAGAAATCGGGAGAAAAGCGGATCCACGCTAATGTTGTCTGCTGGTGCATTACAGCCACATCTTGCTCCGACCATCTCGGTCCGTGATGAAAGGCCGAAGTTGTGTAGGCCTCATCTTAATTTTTCTTTCATTCTGCTGTTGAATCCTCTAGGTTTTAATTGGTAGAGCTGTATTTGCGAAGCATTTCTGTGAGAACTGCAATCTCCCGTGAAGTGTGCCTGTCCGAGAACTAATTTGGATGCGTTGTGGTTAGGAGCTAGTTGTCCTTAACGCCTATAATAATAACCCTCTTCAAACAGATTCCAAAGCAATTCTCCAGCAGTGAGGTGTACAGGAATTTTCTCTCAGTTACAAGTTGTAGGTAAACTTAAGCAGTGCCACGAGAGCATAGCAAGCAATATTAGAGGCTTGTTAACATTTGGCATTATCTCTTTAGGTTTGTTTCACAATAGAGTGCCTGCCTCTCCCAAAATTCCAACCAAAGTATTCAAGTTTTACAACATAATTATCTATAATTATGTAGAATGGGATGTTTTCCTGATTGCTTGACCAAAAATTATTTTACTGGGTTTTTTTGTTTGTTTTTCAGCAGGGGTGGGGGAGGTGGGGTGTCATTGCTATAATTTTACTGTCCTCAGAAAGTTCTGTTTCATCTAATACATAATGTACTGATGTGCTTTAAATTTTTAAGTTATTAAAATTACAAGCTGAGGGTTGCTAGCAGGTAAGCTTAGAGATGAAAGGACTGCGTTTTGACTTCACAGAACTGAATTTAGACTATCACACACTATTTCTGTGTTTGAGAAAAAGCCTTTCCAAGAACAGTCAGATTTGAGAACACTAAAGAGCCTGTTCTTCACTGTCAGTCAGGCTCAGTGGGTCCATCTCTTGGTAGTATGACAACCACGATAGGTCACTTTTTAGCACAAGCTGCGGTTTAGGAATAAAAACTTCTCATCCTGTAAAATCTTCCTTCTAAAGACTACTTACACTTTCACGTTGAGTAATATAGTGCACTTGTTAGGTACAGAAATAGTTTATACGGCGTCTAAGTAGGAAAAAAAAATCCTCAAAGCAAACCCAGATTCCACCCTGCAGAATTCCACAGATAGTCACGTTCATTATTCCAGAAATACTTGTGCAGTGGCTTCAGAATAATGCATTTTAATGTGGAAATGTTAAGATAGCTCCTTCAAACAGATTCTTTGTATAGTAATCAGTGCTCTTCTTGCTCTTATATGGTAATACTGAGATACTCAAAATACTGGGGGGGGTGAATTGATCTTCCATCTGAATTTTAATTTTTAAGTTTCTACTCACTCCAGTGAAATACTGCTACTGACTGAGTAGAAATAATTACTATTAGTAGAATAATAATTATTACTTTAATACTAATTTTAAAAATTGAACTCTCTAAAATTGTGTTATTTTTCCAAAGATCTCACTCTACAGTACCAGATAATGTATGATTACTGGAATTTTTCTACTACTCACTGGAATTTTTCTACTACATAGCTTTAAAAAATGCTACCAATTACTAAAATTATAATTTAAATTGCTTGCACAAGTACTGTGGGGTTTTGGGGGAGGGGAGGGGCGGGAAGAGGGAATTACCATTATGTTAGGATGTTGTGTCAAGATTTCTTCCTTGCCTCAGTCATGAATTTATATGTTGCCAGGAAACAGTGGGATATAGAAATCCCTGCGCATTGATTACTTGGTGGTTGGTTGTTAGTTTTTTTTTTGGGGGG